TGGTTAGTCCCACTCTTATAAACCTTTAATCATTATTCTCTCTATGAAGCGCCATCTCTCTTAAATGCATGTTATCCATATGGTCCAGACGAATTGCATCTAGAAAGCTGACTGTATGATCTATGAATGTACGGCATATAATATTGCCAATTGTAAAAGTATGAATCAATGATCAACTGAACTGAAACCAAATACGTTTTAAACAAAATTCTGATTGTGGTAATAAGGATGGCATTTGCCGAAAGCTTATATATATATATATCCCTCAAAACCCGAGGTTTTAACAAAACATTTATTTGGTAGCGATAAGGAATATACTGTATAAAAAGGAATTTACCGAACAAAAATTCTTATTTACTCTATACATATACATGTACGCGGAGCATCTTACCTCATTAGTTATTAAATACGTAATTCAAAACCTGTTATGTACATATGCATGTACATACTACAATATCTCTGTTTCCTAATATCGATATACATGTATGGTATAAAAAAAATATAACACGTCAGATCTATCATCAAATCTTGCGTCATCACCTTTGCACAATTCAACCTTTCTAAAATGTTCCTTACACCAAAGGAATTTCAATAATTGGCAACAAGAGATGCTGTGAGGGCGTAGTAGATATTCTGATTCTGTTGTACGAATATATAAACCCTAATATTGCCTTGACTTACATGAAGCAACCATATGTAATATTCGATGAAATATTTATAGAATTGAAGAGTTTTTACTTTGTGTATTTGTGTGCTTTTCTGCCCAAATAATACATTTTTTTCAAGGTGTTAAAAATGCGTTGATAGCTATCAAAGTCCTAGTACAATTACCTAATAAAAAAAATTGAATTTTCATCTATAAATTAGTGACGAAGGAAAAACTTTGCTACAAGATTCAATGAGAATTTAATTTAAAGTTTGATCGTATTCGTTATCATTTTCGCGTACTTTTGTGTGTTTGCAATTGAATTAGGCATCAATTTTAATTGAAATATGGAACAAAATAAAGCAGACCAAGAAGGTGATTTCAATATTATTTCTCTCAACCCAAATACTCCAATTACTCCGAAGATTACCTCAGGAAACAATAATTTTGAGAATAATAATACAAAAAATCCTACAGAAAATCCTCTAAGAATTTTCCAAGTGCATGAAAATATGCCAATGTTACCAGTAACTCAAATAACTCCAATTTCAATGGACACTGAGGAGATAACTGCAGCATCTACACAAATAATTCCGATTTCAGCGGACACCGAAGAAATAACTACAGCATCAACACCGGCCGCTTTCATTCCGTCTATTTCGACTGCTAGCATTTCGCAGCAACAAGAGCTGCCACAACCAAGCACACTCGAATATCGCCGGTTAATCCGTCGACAACGAATCGATGTTATCCTTCAGGAATTCGAGAATCTTGATACAATGATAGACGGGGCTGCTACCCACGTAACCATATGCCAAAAATACGAGCAAATATATTCTCTTTGGGTATATGTTCATTTTGATTTCGATCCAAATGAACTAACATGGCAAGAGGCAGCATGCTGGCGTTTAATTCCTGAATTGCTTCTTCGCTACAAGCTTTTTTTAATTCGTCGTCGTGAACAAATGGATCTACAAAATTTCGATATGGATGATCGTGTTCACTACACTTTACGCGCAATTCCTAAAAGAGGCAAAAATGATTTCGAAAAATTGCAAAAAGGATTTCAAAAGTTGAAAAAATTCTCAAAGAAATTTAAATTCTTTGGTCGAACAAAATCAAATGAAAACATCTCTGCTGTAATGCCGCCTTTAAAAAAAGTGAAGCAATTGAAAAAGTTGAGCGATGATGAATTGAAGCAAGAATGGAGAGAATTGTTACGGATTTTTCGATCCATAAGAGATGCAATATTTGCTGACGAGATGTCTACCTTAACTAGTAAGGGAGAAAGGAAACAATGGAAAGCGGAGTTTAAGAAGCTTCGAAGAAAAGTTGAGGCTCCGTCAATTCTAGACGAGTATTTACATCACTTGGCATTAAACGAAGAAATCCGGAGATAATGCATATGCATTTGGAAAATAATAATAATAGATTTTTTTTTGTTTGATTAATTTGGCTACATTATTTTTTATCGTTATTTATTTTTAATTTAATTATCTAATTGTTTCACCATTAAAAAAAATCGAACAATGAAAATAATATACATGTACATGTAGTTATTTTTTTTACTTTTTTTAATATAGTAAAAAGATTACATGTAACAACGGAATAATATTGTAATTTTGATAATGTAAACAATGGGAATTCTATTCGCGACCCCTCGTTTTGATTGAGCAACTTCCAGTTTCGGATTATCTCCTTAGAAGTTGTCTTATATTTAACTTGTAAAAATTTGGACATATTTACCTATTCAAATCCAGTTTGACACATCGTTCTAATTTGTTTCAATTGATGGTGCAGATCCTTTTTTTTATATTATCAATCACATTGAAAATATGAATCTGAATTCACGATAATTTATTGCAAATTCTGCTAACCAAAAATGTCTATTTACATCATAAAAACTGAATATTTATCATTATAGACACGAAAAAGGAGAGATTTGCAAAAGCTTATGAGAGTAATTGTGCATTTGTTGTTAACATGAATAGCATAGTTTATGCTGACAAAACAAATTTTTTCGCGTGGTGATGGGAAATTACTATGCCTTAATTATCATGTAATGTTATGTCCTACTTTTCATCTGAAGACATAAAAATATTCGAAGAGATCAAAATATAAACAATCGAAAAAACTAAGTAAATATGGTTTCTTTCACTTAACTTTAAAACTGCACATAGTAAATTTTTTCGATTTCTGAACACGTATAAAAACATTAATTGACAAAATTTATCAATATGGATTCTTCCCGTCTTAGAGCTCTTGCACTAAATGTTCTAAAAGATCCAGAAATCCTCGTCAGTTGGATCGCGTTCCGAACTTGAATCCATGCACATTATGCGGTGAGAGATCCTCTTGAGCCATCCTAAGCATTTACTATAATCAGCTATGTCATTTATTCCATAGAAAGTGTATCAAGTAGAATCTTTTGAAATCAAAATGTTCGACTATGGGCTGCCATAAAAAATCAAAAACCTACCGCTTGTCATCTCTTATGAAATGGGACCACAAGATGATTTAATAGATACAGAAGACAAGCATAATATATTATCAAACTTCCACCAATAAACTATCTAACAAACATTTAGCAAAAGAGGATTAGTACAATGTGTTTAAAAAATCTATCGGAATGTTCATCAAAATCAAATACCTTAAAACATCGTTCAAATATAGTTTCGCAAATTATCTGATAATTCGCGTCAATTATTAGATATTAAGAATGGATTACAGTTTATAATTTTTTTGGCGAGCCAATCACCGCATGAAAAATGATGGTAAATTTTCGAGATAACAAATCGCGTGATAAGTTATAAACGATAATCCTAACCTAAAATTTCTTCTATCACCAGATATTATGTGAACGATATGTTTGACAGATGCGAAACTCATGCCATTATATAAATTTTACTTTTAACTAAAGACAAAAAATCGAAATATCGTATAAAATAGGTTTGAACCAAAAAATTTCAATTTAAAATCGTATCAATTCAAACTCAAAAATCAATTCCAAAAAATATTATAAATTAAGCAGCAAATTCAATTCAAAAATATATCAAAATCAAGCAGCAACAGAACATACATCCACTTTGGAGTAGCCTCTTTCGCCATAACTACATTCGTCTTTTCATTTTACAATCTCGGTGTCTGCGGAATTGCGCATGACAATTTAGGTCTCGATCTAGCGTTATTTTACGGTGAACTCACACAATTTATCGCGGGCATGTTGGAAATGTATTAACACGATGTCGGCCACGATGTTTAGTTTATACGGAGCATTCTGGTTGTCGCTCGGCTTGATTTCATTACCCTCTTTGTAATAAGCGTGGCTTACGTCGATCCTAAAGAATTCAATTATGCGATTGGTATATTTTTCACTGTTTGCTAATCTCGTTTTGTTGTGCACTCTAACGCTATCATTAACTAGTGACGATAATATTGCACCCCGCACAAATAAATTCATGATCGGAGCTCTTTTATTCCTATGTATTTTCGATTTATGTCAGCCTTTCTCTTGGAAAATCCACCGGACAGTGTGTCTTATCAAATTAGTGGACAAAAAAAATCCGTATTTCACTTTTCCTCTTGGCCGGAGAAACTTTGATGATGCCAATGCTCATCGTACATTACCCTATTAATACTTAAATATTAAGTCGAGAAAACCGTATCTTTTTGTCCGACATGTCCTTTTCTTGAATTGTGTGTGTACATATGGTCAGATGAGTCCCAATTTTCTCTTTTTCACTCAGATGAACGTACAAGAGTATAGCAAAACTCTTCTAAAAAATACGTGGAAAGTTGTGTGGTTCCAACAGTAAAATATGGTGGATTATCAGTTATGTTTTGGGGATGTATTGGATGGGATGGTGTTAGACTTTTGGTAGAGGTCAATAATAATCTCGATTCTGATGGTTATATTAAAATTTAATTCTTTGGATGAATAATAACTCTTATACACTCTTTCAGCAAGATGGTGCTTCATGTCATACCTCGCATTATACTAATTGGTGGATACAAACTCATAATATTCCAATTTGAAATTGCCTAAAGTCTCGATTTAAATCTAATTGAGCAGATTAGAGAGCCTCTTTCCAAAAAGGATTTAATCGATACATTGATAGAAAAGGTGCCTTTAGATGTTGTACGCAATTTGATTTCCAGTATGCCACAACGAATTATGGCTGTTATCAATGCTAAAGAATCACATACACATTATTAGTTTTTTAATAATTTTTCAATTAAGCATTATTTATATAAATTTTAAATGAGATTATTTAATCCAATATATATTTGTAAATCATGCACGGTGATTTACCATGATTACCGTGATGCAAGATCCTGTGTAGCATCACATGGACCATGATTTTTAACATGGAATCTAACCATAATTTCATGGTGTATCAACGTAAATTTTATAAAAAGTTAAGGAAATTGAACATAAATCTTATATAAAATAAAATCAACATATATCATTACAAAGAAAGATCGTACACAATTCCACGAAGAAAAATCTAACACTGAACGATTTGCTCGATCATTAATAACATTTATAATTTTTCCCTCTCTATCAATTATT